TATTGAGGCTGAGGCTATCGCTTCACTGGGGTCTAAGTGCGTAAGCACTCCCTCTCTTACGCTCAGTGATAAAGAATTGTATTTTCTAAGAAATTAATTTTTTGTGTGCATCATTCATATCATGTGATGTTATTTTTCTTGGTGATATAGGCGAGCGTGCAGTGGTAATAAACATTATGTTGGAATTTAGCGCCTGTGCCGTGTGTCCTCGTCTTGTGTCCCCGTTTCTTAGCGCTATTTTCAGTCGTCAGATTATTATAACACCCACAGGGCCGAAAGGGTGATACAGAAATAAGGAGTGGGTACAATGTGAGCACAGAAAAACAATTATAACAGTGAAGCAAACACAATAAGATGCGATCACTTGCAAATCTGTTACGCAGTTACGCTACAAGGTGTTCCGAAACTGTGAACTTAATTCTTAGTTGGAGGACAGGAGGGTGTGCATGACTATTTTTCTGCTCGAAGAAAGCCATAAAAACTGGAGAAGAATATCTGAGGAGCAGGAAAGCCTACAGTGAAGTCATAGAAGAGGCGTTTGCCTCCAGTATATTAATATATATATATATATACCTTCTGAAAGTGCGGTAATAACTCACGCTATATAAATGTCCTTCTGAATAGCAATTTATTGAAGGAAGCATCACAAATACTGCCGTAATCACAATAAGGCTGAATTGGGTTAGTTGGTTGTTTATAGTCGTAAAAATAACAGCGTCAAAAACGACGGCTGAAGAAAAGAAAGGCAAACGACCAGGCAAACGACTTCTAACTGTTTGTCTATGAGTGTTCATCCCTCTTTTTCTTGCATTCTTGTTTTTACGATAGTAATTACGAAATGCGAAGAAAAACGGAAAGCAAAACAATCGTGCCACAAAAAGAAAAGAATGGCCGATGTGCTCATTGGGTGATATGCGAACGCGTCGATGCTTTTAAGTGAAGGTCGAGCACAACACCTTTGTTGTATCATAGGTAATGCAGCGCACTACAGCTACCTGGACGATACGTATTCACACATTGAATCTTCTTATTGCAACTGCGTTGGGAAGAAGCGTTCTGAAGTTCATGAAAAATTCATTTGTATTCACGTGTACGCTGAGATGCTTAATATTTTTTTTGCAGAATCACTTGTGAGGGTTGTTTAACTGAGGCGCTAGCATAGAGTTTGTTGTGATATTTAGAAAGAACGTTGTGTTTAAACAACGTAAGAATTGCACATGTCAGTATCTAGTCTTCGTATGGCACAGACATGCTCTGCATACTGAAAAGCCTGTTAGGCCCAATATTGCCGAGGTGGAACTGTTTGTTTTTTTTTTGCACAATAATTTTCATGTTTACCTTTTGATCTGCAAAAGACTTAAAATTCTTTACCCCGAAGTTAACATAAAGTGCTCTTCTGTTACATTTGCCTTGCGTCAAGGGTGCAACGCAGTCACGTGATTCTTGTGTATTCACACTTTATGAGCATACGTGTGTACCACAGCGGTGAACACTTTCGCTTTGGCAGCGTTATGGCTCTTGTTGAGAACAAGGTACAAAATAGGATTAGCGTATATCATCGACGTATTTCTTCATGGTTAGAAGCGTGTTGAGTGAGAGAATGACATAAACGGAAGGACGGATTTCCGGTTCACTGCAGCGCGTTTAGGAATTGCCAATTTTCTAAGGAAAAACTGAAGATTCCTAAATTAGTTTTACTGGAGATCGCTGTGCGGGTTTAAATGTAGCGCGAGTTGTGAAAGATGGTGACCCACCGCTCCACTCTTGTATAAGCGACACATCCACGCCCCGCAGGAGCGTGGTGGGCAGGGCCGTGGAAAATGTGGGTCTATTATGATTTCAGCCGCAGTCGTTGTCACCTTCTCAAGGTACAGGTCAAAGTCCACAAGAGCTGCGAAGACATGCAGTAAAATGTTATAAATAAAATGTCCTCGAATGTGAGCGCCCACATTATGAGATCGTATTTATTTTAATTTACCATGACCCTTTCGCACACTACTCTGTGTAAAGTGGTACACTCTGTGAAGTTGAATACCGTAAGATAGCTGTGGTTTAAACGCAGTCTCAGTAGCCGTACAAGAAAGGAGAAAAAGAGTTACGACTACGATGATGCATGCGTTTGCATAAACATAATCGTGAATTAGCGTATTCAGGAGCACATTTGCTGTGCCAGTACTAAGCAAATTCTAAAGTTTTCAAGGCACGAACCGAAAGGGAACCCTAAAAAAATCCAAGAAATGCGCCCTGGCGTGATCACAGCAACACACAAAGGAGGCGATTCCAGTGTAATATTTTTCTAGAGCTAGGAAGCAGTATCATAAAGCTTGTGAAGTCCCAAAATGGCAAAGCTGTTGACCTCCCCGGCAGTGTATTCATACGCAGCCTGAGATTATCCTGCTGCTCTAACATGCAAGAATTTTTAAGACTAGTCAAGCATCGTACATCGCAAACCTTTGGTACGTTACAATTGCTTTTCTATTGAACACTTCAAAAGTAAACACGGCAATGTTGTGCTGACAGGATGCCCCAAACACCTACCTCCTTCTTTAGAATACACATACAATGCTTCACCACGTGAAACACGTCCTTGTGGTCCATTTCGCTGAGTGCGCAGGATTACACTGGTGTTTACGCAGGCTGGCAGATTGGAACAAGTAACATTTGTAACATCAGGCTCTAGAACGGTTGTCCCAGCACATGAACCAATACGCTGCGTTTTAAAGATCGAATGTTCGTTAGGTTCATAGGCGACCTCGAGATTGTACTTGTCGAAGCAGCCAGTTGGCCGGTTCCAGCGCATGTACAAATGTGTCATTAGCCACTTGAATTGTTCGGCAGCACCTCTGGCATATCTGCAAATAAAAGTGGTGTTGACAGAGCAATTAAATTGTATGTGTTTTCTTTTACTAATCTCTAACAAATAGCATGAACGGAGACGACATTGGTTGATAAGCGGTTCAAGCGAAGCATTTTAGCAAGATTCTAGCAAAACGTTTTAGTGAAGTAATGTATTAAGCGTTTAACGCAAGTTACCAGTATCACGTCATTTATCAGCCTGCTTCACCGGCACTTCATAGCGAATTCCTATCCCAATGATCTTCAATTGTTCTTATTCGGCACAACAGCGTAAACAAGCTCGGTGGTTGGAACTTTCTGTTTCGGTGTCGGTGTCCTTGATTTTGAGTGAAAGTTTAGCGTTGTTGATGATAATTAGAAACATGTGCAAACAAAGAAAAACCCGCACACTGCACAATTGAGGCGACTCTACGGTCCTCCTGTAGAGAATTTCTTTGAGTGGAGGGTACCAGCTCACCGACATTTTATTGATTGCACTTTTCTGAGCAAGATTTACAAGAGCGGACTGTGAGGACGCCTTAACCCGGCTATAGTTTATTACCTGCGTGATATTACAGTACAACTTGAACAGTTTACGACCTACAAGCACCAGGACGACTTGCACTGACACGTCTGAAACCTGCTTTGCTGCGCCTTTCGCTATCCTCACTCCAGATTGTACTGCCATGGTGGCGCCCCAAGTGGGCGCTGTAAATTAGGGCAATTGAAATGATGACAACACAAAGACGATGAGAACAAGCACTTAAACTCGCCAGTTTTCTTTTCTACATTGTCATTTTATGTGTGCAGATTTGTCTCAAGCACTTATGCGTGACCAACTAATTAGAGAATTCATCTCAATCTTCAGTAACTCTGAACCTCGATGTTCTCCATACTCCCCGGAATCCTATCCAGTCTGCTGAAAATCCAGTTAAACGATCATATTTTTGTGCTTTACAATCCATCTTCATTGAAATCGCACTTCTCGTGAATTACTTCCGGGCCTACGCAACAGCTGCTGACCTATTCCAGAGGCTTTTTATACAAGTATTCTTCACCAATATTTCAAAATGCCTGCAATGCTACTGATATTTATACCCAGACTATTGCTGGAACCTATGTCGGTGTGATAGTTCTGCTACAGTAACGTAATTTATAATAGAGAAAATGTACCCTAAGGTTTTGGTAGCAGTAGTGATATTAGTAAGGAAACTTTACATACAGTAAGCACATGATAGAACTCACTGCAGGGGCAAGGGATAAAGGCAAACAGTCTGACAACGGGCTCTGCCCCTCCGCAGTTCATGCTAAGCTTCGACTTGACCACAGCAAAAAAAAAGAAACTTTTAAGATAAATACATTTGTTTCGAGAGAAACAGACAACAAGATGCTTTCAAGTGCAGACTAGCATTTATAAACGTAGAAAAGAAAATGTTCACAGAACACATTTCAAGAGTTCTAAGTCACTCTCGCAGACATACACAACCGAGTGTAATTAACAAAAAGTTGAAAAACTGAGCAACCCGAAATGCACACGGATGCACCGATATTACATTGTACATTACTACCACTTCAGGACAAGGGTCGAGGCGCCTGTGCTTTATTGATGTTTAATGCCGCAGTTGCATGCGATTATGGTGAGCGAGTCGTAATGGCTACTAGGAGGCGCATAAAATGAATGAGCTTTTTACTCAGAAAGGGGTATGAGCATGCAGTACGACCATGCTGCAGAGAAGAGCATTACATAAAAGTAGAAATACGCATTTATAGTTAAACAAAGTTATTAGATGGAAATATTCTGAATGCAAAGATAGTTCGAAAATTACTATTATGCAAAAGTATCGCATACTTTTTTAGTACTATAATTTGTGATATCTCTCTTTCTTTTCTGCCTGATTTGTTTGCGTATGCTAAGTGAAAATACTACTATTCCGCATATATAATGTGAACCTCTTGTAATGGTTGTCTCAGTATAGAAAAATATACTAGCTAAAACACACCGCAGACCATTTTAGAAATAAAAAAGTAGAAAAATTAAGCCAGAAAATATGAAACTGAACCGCTGCACAGCTTTCCTTTTTTGGTCACTAGCTGGTTATTACTGCAATATAAAATTCAGCAGCTCAGCATCGCAAGGAGACAGACGTAGGGGCGTATAGAAGTACCTTTTTTGTACATGACGATGTCGTGCAGGGAAACACCAGATGAAGTAAGCTCGAGTGGTCCTTTTCTCTGGGTACGTACGGTGATTTTCACGTTGCAAGCTTCTATTTTCGTGCACGTGATGCTAGTGTGTTGCACATCAACAGTGATTCCATCTGCACAGGAGCCCACACTGAGGCCTCCAACACCACTGCTTCCACCGTTTTCTTCAGTGACTTCGACTATGTAGCCGTCAAAGCAGCCCTCCGGTCGTTGCCAGGAAACAGTTATGGAATCCTTGTCCATCTCTGTCAATTTTAGCTGCCTCACTTCAGGAAGATCTGCGCAGTGTTGGGAGAAAATTGATTTATTTGGTCGCTGCCCCGCCGCGGTGGTCTAGTGGCTAAGGTACTCGGCTGCTGACCCGCAGGTCTCGGGATCGAATCCCCGCTGCGGCGGCTGCATTTTCTATGGAAGTGGAAATGCTATAGGCCCGTGTAATCAGATTTGGGTACACTGTAAAGAACCCTAGGTGGTCGAAATTTCAATAGCCCTCCACTACAAGCGTCTCTCACAATCATATGGTGGTTTCGGGAGGTTAAACCCCACATATCAATCAATACTTCGTCGCTAAGCAGGTCCGCGTGCATGTCTCTAGAGGCGCCTGATTGTAGCTCGTAACTAAAGACACATACGTGACATGCGATACGCAAAGAGTGAATTTTGAAGGCGACAGCCTCAAGTTCGTCCTTTAACAAATAAATTGTTAGTGCGAGCACCACCATGAAAAGTGGTGCTAAAATGTCCATTCTTGATGACATGGGGATGTCACGTGATCCAGACGTCATAGATTGGCAAAACATGTGTAGTCACATGATGACGTCGTTATACGCCATCACACGACTGCCTCCGTCCTGCTTTTTTTTTTCTAACTTTGTCGCCTTTACACCATTTACTGTCGGCGATAGTCAGAGCTCGGTGGCTTCAGTATGCTTTCGTTATGAATAGCGAGATGGCGCGAGCGGGTCCTTTAAAGGTCATCGCTCCACGCGTTGCGATGCGCGTGCACTTATTGCTTGATTGAGGTGGTTTTGTACGTTTCGGGCTCGCTTTCAAGTTGCAAAGAGCGCGAAGGTCACCTTGCTCACTGCGATGGTCGCGTTTGCGAACGAAGCACTGCTGAAGCATTCTACAGCAAGGAACTGTGGCAGTTGTTAGTTCGCTCCCACCAGTTTACTTAGATTTCTGTGTAAGGGAAACAATCTTTGGTGGTCAAATTTTTCGGAGCCTTTTACTGCGGTGTCTCTCATAATTATATCGTGGTTTAGGAACATTAAACCTTAAACAATATTGCCAGTTTGCACTCCTGTGCCTAATTCTGTCCTCGTTTCCTGCATTCTTCTTTTTGAAAAGACTAGGAAGCCACTACTAGTGATCACGGGTCACAAAACATCTGGTTCTATACTTACACACGAGTTATCAACAAAAAGTGTGACTAACCAGTTTCTTTGATTTTTCAGTTAGTGCGATCACACCTGTTTGAAGGATTGGGATACTCTACATTTTAGGAAATTGGAAATTACGTTCAAGTCTTCTTGGGCGCATATGCACGAGGTGACGGTTTAGGTACTTGGACACCCTTCTTTTGCTCATATGCTGATATAACATGGCTGTTTTAGGAATACCTCACGCATCCTCCTAGTTTACTGTGGAACTAAAGCAGCTATTGATGTTGCCCTTAATTACGCACAAGACAGATTAACTTCTTGGAAAGTTGTCACTCGTGGGGCACCAGGCAGACTGACTCAAAAAGGTGCTAACAGAGTCCTTTACGCAGAAAAACACAATGTGCTGCCATAATTTTCTATCGTGGGTGTCCCTCACTGCCCACTGCATGTCTTCGCACATGAGAATGGCCACCTAGTTGTTGTTTTTTTCACGCAGTTGTTGGCATCATCACATCATCATACAATCGCATGCCTCGAAACAGCCACAAAGCGTGCATCGTTGATGCAGGCGCATTTTATTAGTCGAAACGCGCACTCTGTCTTGTGAGTTATATGTGACGAAAGCGCCGTGAGGGGGCACAGATCTTCGGCTAAACAAGCACCCCATCCACCGTTGTCGCGCACGCGACGTCACGACACGCAACGGCCACAAGGTGTCTCGCCGCAGAGCAAAGCAGGCCGCTCGCGCGCATCATACACAGACGTGGCCGCGCCTGTACATGCCATGTGCTCGTGGTGCTTTGGCGGATTCAGTTATTTTCCTTTTATTAGGAAAACAACTAAATCCGTCATGCACAAACTGCAGTCAACTAGTCAAGCAATGCATAACACATCGTCTACGAAAAAGCGTGCATCGATTCCTTATATTCGAAATATAAGCGAAGCCCTAGCCCGTCTATTAAGAAAACGTGGTGTACAGATCGCGCATGTTCCAGCAAGCAAGCTTAAGGCTGAGTTGCTAAATGTGAAGGATCCTCTCCCTCGGCAACACTTTCCTGGTGTAGTCTACAAGATACCATGCGCCGATTGCGAATCGGTGTACATTGGCACGAGTGGAAATTACTGCAGACGTCTGATGCAACACAAGAATGACGTCGCCAAGGGCCACACAGTGACAAATGCACTCGCCGAGCATGCCGAGAAGACGGGCCACGAGATAAGCTGGGACAACGCACGCATCATGGCCACGGAGAAGAATTTTACAACCAGACTGAACCTCGAATCACTAATCATTCAGACGACAAGTAACACAATCAAAAGATCATCTGGCACACTAAATCACGTGTACTCCCGGACTTTGCGTCATGCGCTCAACATTACATAAGAACCTGTTGCTCAGCTGTCATCCCATTGTGAACAAGGGATCTGTACGGGTCCCGAAACGTCTTTGTTTTTATTTGAAATTGGTCAGTGACCTGTTCTTTCAACAATTTCGCTATCTTCACATTTACCATATTTGGTATTACGTGACGTTATTGGATGGTGAACGTATGTGACTGATGCAAATACGATAATAAGCGCATGCATGTCATGTGAGAACATGGCCACATGCCATCCTCATGATAAACTAGCGGCCGTTTTGCCAGCTTCACATGTACCGAATTTTCTAATAATGACGCGAACGGACGACGATGTATGTGACACGTCGAAACATCATCATGACATGCGTGTCATGTAAATGTCTACACGCTACGCTTATAGTGCTCTGGCGGTCGTCTCGCTTGATTCATATATACCAAACTTGGAGTTATGTGACATGAATGAATGACTAACATATATGACTGGTGCTAACAAGATACCGATTGCATGCCTATCTTGTAAGAGCATGACTACATATCAGACACATTGTGCGCTCGCGGTCATTGCACTGGCTTCACATTTACCAAAGTTCATACTATGTGACGTGAATGGACGACGAGGGTAAGTGGCACATCCAAACATGATAATAATGATACGCGTGTAATGTGAAACATAGCCACATGCTACGCTCATAGTGCGATCGCGGCCGTTTCACCAGCTTCACATATACAAAATTTGAGTGTTACGTGACATGCATGAAAGAAAAACACAAATGTCAGGTGCCTACATGATAATCATGACATGTAAGTCGTGGACAGCATAATTCACATGCCTACCACTGCTTGTGCTGGTAGTGCAAGCGTTATTAGTGCGGTCGCTACGTGACTATAAACCATATACTTGCATTTTGTCTGAATACCTGAGTGCGCATAGCATTTCTACTTCTGTTTACTGTGTCCAACATTCATGCGCCTCGTGAGGTTGACCTGATTTTCAGGTGACATATCAATATTCCTCATTCGTGCTTCGCATATCATTAATTCCTACAGTACGTAGGATCTGCTATCTTTTTTTAAAACTTCATATTTCTATCTCCTTTTATCTTTGTCTTCTAATAACCTAATGTCCCTAATCTATTGTTTCCTTCTGAGCTCTTGTTTTCTTAAATAACTACGGAGACTTTTCACCACCGTACCCTTACCATGAGCTTGCCTGCAACATAAGGTCGTCTATTTGTTCGTTGTTTTCATTGTTTTTCAAGGGAAATAATTCTTTGATGTTTCTTTATAATGTCTATTCAAGCCCGTTTTTTTTTGCGTGGAGACTAGACATGTGAAATACAGTTTCTTTTGTAATTTTTTGTTCTGTTTTTTTTTGGTACCACTGATCGTTAGCGTCATTTGCGCTGCTATACAAGTCGAGTGGCTCAAGCTGATTGACTTTTTTCGCTTGGTGTCCCACAACATTTAGTTTTAAGCAAATCAATAAAAGAATATGAAAATAAATGAAGTTTTTGCCGCAGTGACTGATGACTTCTTTAATTCCGTTAAGGATTGATCTCCTTTTCAAGGACTTTTGCACAAGTTTAGTAATGAAGCTCTGAAGAAATTTATTAGCAATAATCTCTAATAGCAGTAATCTCCACAATCTCCATTACTACGAAAGCATCCATAGAGATGTAATGCGCAGAAAAAGGATTTTATTCTAAGTATACTCAATGTGCACACGTGATGATCCGGAATGGTTATCCACGAGCTTTTCTGTAAGACATGAATATTAGAAAATTAAGCGCAATGTCTTACACTCGGAACAACCCACCTCATTTTCTGTATAAGGCACATGTCCTAATTCACATCCAGCTTCTTATTACTATGACATGTTTAGCACTCCTACCTTTCCATGTAAGCGCGAATAACGCATTGTTAAGTCCACTACCTTCGTCTTGACGCGCTTGCTATCACAATAAAGCGTCCCTAATAATTTCAGCTGTTTGAGTTCTAAACAATTACGTGAAACCATGAAAAATTATTATGCGATCTCGTGACAGCGCAAAAAACCAATGCCAGGCTTACGGGCTGGCAAAAAAATAGCAATAAGAGAACAAGACGTGCCAGAGCAGCATATTGCACAGTTTGTCAGAATATTGCCTACTGAACTTTTACACAACCAGCAACTGTCTCATTCCGATCCAATATTAGAATGAGAAAAGTATACCCTACCTCTTCCTGGCACGAAGATACCTCTGAGCGTTGCCCCAGGGGATGTCAGACCTGAGGGACCCTTGCTTTGTGTGTGTACTGTGATGCTCGCGTTCACACATGCCTTGAACTTGTCGCAGGTGATTGGGTTCTGATCTCGATGAATTATGTCAATTTGGAATCTCTCTCTCTCTCTCACACAAACAAACAAACAAACACACACACACACGCACACACACACACACACACACACACACACACACACACACACACACACACACACACACACACACACACACATATATATATATATATATATATATATATATATATATATATATATATATATATATATATATATATATATATATATATATATATATGCGTGGTTTATTTTGACGTTTCAGCCAACAGTCTGGCCTTCACCAGGATACCTGATGAAGGTCAGACTCTAGGCCGAAACATCGAAACAAACCACGTTGTGACCACTTACGGAAGATCTGCTTGACTACTTGTAACGCTACGGCCACTCAGCCACCATGCCTGCCTCTAATATATATATACAACAACAGCTGAAGCCTACGGGCAATGAAGTCAAAGAATGCACATGGGTAGGCAGGTTAGGGCGACGTTATTTATGTTTCCTCAATTCTTTCAGATTTCACTTCAATGAACAAAATAATACAAGAAAGAAGTTACACTTTCCGTCGAATAGATGAACCTCCAACTTTGAACTCATGATATATATATATATATATATATATATATATATATATATATATATATATATATATATATATATATATATATATATATATATATATATCATGAGTTCAATGTTACTCTGAGTGCTACTCGGAGAGGGGTATGAGCATGCAGGTCGACCATACTGTAGATGGAAGTAATAAATAAGGGTAAAAATGCTCACTTATACTAAAATCTAATATTTTACATGCAAAGATAGTTCCGGAACGACTGATATGGAAATGGCAAACATAAATTTATGGTGTTAATATTTTTTATATCCGTCTTCTTTTTTATCGCACGTCTAGTTTGCGCAAGCAAATGGACAACGGTGCAATTGTGCACTCAAGATTAGAACCTCTTGTACAAAAAATACTTTAGGAAGACAAATAGTAGAAAATGAAGCCCTAAAGCATTAAACTGAACAGCTGCACAGCTCTCCTTCTACTTCTTTGGGCATTAGATGTTTATTAGTGAATTATAAAAATCAAAACCTTTGCATTGCCAGGAAGTGCACATAGGGCGTATAAAAGTACCTTTTTTGTACATGACAATGTTGTTCAGGGTGACACCAGGTGAAGTAAACTCCAGTTGTCCTTTTCTATGCGTACGTATGGTGATTTTCACGTTGCAAGCTTCTATTTTCCTGCACGTGATGCTCGTGTGCTCAGCGTCAACAGTGATACCACCCGCACAGGAGCCCGCACTCAGGCCTCCAACACCACTGCTTCCGCTGCTTTCTTCAGCGACTTCCACTATGTAGCCTTCAAAGCAGCCCTCCGGTCGTTGCCAGGAAACAGTTATGGAATCCTTGTCCATCTCCGTCAATTTCAGCTGCCTCACTTCAGGAAGATCTGCACAGCGTGTTCAAGAAAAATGATTTAGTAAACAGGTTCTTTTGCATAACCTGTAATTTACGTTCCCGTTACCTAGACACCTGCTGCGAACCCCTTGAAGGGGCCTTATTGTAAGAGGCAACTTTAGCCACATACCTGCCGTGTGATAATACGCAGTGAGTGAATTTTGAAGACGAGAGCCTCAAATACGCCATTTAAAAAATTTTCATTTGTGCCGTCAACAAAGGAGTTGCGAAAATCGCCATTCTTGATGACATCACCATGTCACATAGTCCTAACGCAAAGATCGGTGAAACTTGCCAAGTCACATGATTACGTCATTATACGTTGTCCATGACTGCCTCCATCATGTCTTTTACTAACTTCGTCCTATTTTCTTACCTATTTTTACATAACTTGTTATTTTGGCGAAAGAGGCTTATATAGTGAGGTCAACACTAGAGTAATAATTATTGATTTGCTATCTTAGACATAAAAGCCTCCTTCATCGCCTAACCTAGCGCGCGCCTTTGTATCATTCCTACATGGACCGCCACACCACGGTTCATATCTGCACACACAAGTGTCATTTTTCGAAACTGAAATTCAAGTTTGCGTTCACAAAGATACATGCAAGGAATGCGCTGTAGGTGCTAGTTTTATGAAGCCTTTCCTTAGGCCTGAAATTCCATGCGACAGCGAGGCACTAATTTTGATTTACTCATAGTTTGTTAAAGTTTGAGCACGCTTTGCTGAAATTTAATTTTTGCTTCACAAGTAAAGAACCGAACTGGCCTAATCACTAGCAACAACCCAGTCAAAATGGAATGCCGTGCTTCGCAGCAGTGAACGATTGTGTTATTCTAAAATGGTGGCATACATTGCATTGCTTGTCTTCTTGATCAAGAAATTGCTAAAATGTATCCAATCATTTTGTAGCTGAAACACAAGAACTTATGTTAGTGTTTTGCCACGTTGAACAGCATAATCTTGCTTGCGGCAGCCTAACCTGAATGCCAACGGCTTACTCGCTCATCATTTTTTGCTCAGGTACATTATGAAACGCATGTATGAAGCAATCAGCCAAGGCCAAAAGTATTTTACATAAAATACTTATGCAGTGTGCCACAGAAATCCTGTTCCAGTGGTCACAAAACCATTATGCTCTACCAGCATCTCCGGTCTGCTGGACACCAAAGACTTTGCTTTCGGGAGCCAAAACCAGCAGCACAATCTCCCACAGCTTTCCAGTCTGAAGATTTGGTCCTGTCGGAGCACCTTCACACAGGCAAAGTTACTGCAAAACATGGTGTTTTTTTGTACTTCTATTCAGCTAATATACGGTGCCTAGTTTACACAGTGCTTTTCGCGAAATTCGCAGAAATGTCTCAAGCCTTCCAGGATTTCAACCTCCTGGTAGGCTTGTCAGCTCGAAAGCGAAACAATCGAGATTGGTGCTGAACTAGCGCCGACACCACAGATCACACTCGAGCATTCGATACCGATTGTGTAAATCCTGCCGCACATAAACAAAAAATAAGGTTATCGAAGGACGACGCTCTCTCCGTTATTAGTGTACAGCGTATATCACTTGTAGCTTGACCTCTCGTTTACCGCGAGCAGAGCTTCGCCCATACAAAAACTTTTGAGTTAAACCCATCTTCTTTCACAGAAGAGGCTTGTAACAGTATTGTGATCAGAGTCCGTTCGTTCTCGCCAATGTTGGCATTTGGCCACATAATATTTTTAATAATGAAGATTATAGGTCACCCGTTTTTGAGAGGTATTGATTTGAAAGAAATTACATGTTACATCCTCCTCCTGAATATAGGTGCGCCGCCGAGAAATGGGCCCTACATAATAGGTAATTGCCAGTAATCTATAGTCAACCATCCTGTCCTCTATAGAGTATTTGGGTGGCCTTGCACTGTCTTCAGGTTCAGAATTTTTAAAAGATCCTTACACATCACCTGGTTTCCCGTTATTTCTGGTATCCACAAACCATTCACCATGCGCTGATTACTTAACTTGTCTTTATTATGTGGTGAAATGTTTAGCGGTATCATTTTGTTATCAAGAAGATCGTAGACATCAAAACGTTGCATCCTTTGGGATGTAGAGATTACGTTGGCGTCATCGAGTCACAGTCTAGTTTTGTGGATTTTTTTTTACATTCATAGCGACGTCTTCAATGGTCACATTTTAGGTTTTCTCAATCATCCAAGTTTTTCGTAATACCTTTTAAACGCAGAAGTTATGTCATGAAATAGAAGATACGACAGCACATGGACCGTGTCATGATCAAAATATGTACAGCGTGATCAAAATATGGATGGTTGAGTGGGCACGGCGAAGCGGCTGGAAAGATGCCGCTAACGAAACGCTTCTTTTTCGTTGTACAGGCCGTGTTTTTCATGCTCGCCGGGCCATCGGAACCTTGCACTACCGGGAATGAAGTTGCGGCGATTACATCTGTCTCTGCTAACTACTGTCCAGTGCCTTCATCGAATTTGGACATACTGGATACGCCCCCTCTGGAACATTGCATGCCCGTGACGTCATCGTTGGATCGCCCTTTTAAAGACAGGCCACACAGTTGGACCTTCAGTGGGCACGGCGAAGCGGCTGGAAAGATGCCGCTAACGAAATGCTTCTTTTTCGTTGTACAGGTTAGTTTTTCTCTTTCAAATCATAGGTCTGGAGACGAAATTGTACTTCTTATTGTGCCGTGCCCACAGACATGTTTTATTATTGCATATGAATGTTATTTTGTTTGCAAGTTATTGCTGTGTGGAGATGTCGAGCAAAACCCTGGGCCAACTGTTGATGAAATGTTTCACGAGCTCTTGAAGGGACAATCTGATATCCGAGCAGAACTTGTAAGCCTTTAGAGCACGTTTAGACTCAACAGAATCATTAATAAGCACCTTTGGAGTGCGTCTGAATAACTTAGAAGCAAATGTTAAGCAACTACAAACTCAGAAGGGCGTGAGCGAATCGATACAGGAGTCTGTAGATTCCATTCAGCAGTTAATTGATATTCATCAGTCCAAGCTGGTTGACCTTGAGAATCGCAGTCGCCGGAATAATCTTCTTGTATTTGGTATCAGCGCTGCTGGGAGTGAATCTGAAGCAGAGCTACGTGAAAAGGTAGTGAAGGGCATATTTCATGATCGATTAGGGGTGAAATGCACGACAATTGCGCGGGTTCATAGATTAGGCAAGCCGGTATCAAGCAGACGTCCTGTTATACTTTTTTTCCAAGATTATACGGAAAAGCAAGCTGTGTTGCGTCAAGCACATAAGCTGAAGGGAACCAAAATTTATCTTCAAAACGACTACTGTCCTGACACACTCCGCAAAAGAAAACTGCTATGGGCAACTGCAAAAGCAGACAGAGAAAGCGGTAGCAAGGTTGCTCTTGTTCACGATAAGCTTCGTATTGATCACACCTTTTCTGTTGGGACGACTCGCTTAATGCGCGTAGGAAAGTGTCACATGAGAGTGCCGTAGGGAATCCCAGCTAGCAATTAGGGGAGCACCAACTTCGTTTGCTTTGCTTCAATGCACGGAGTATAACAAATAAAATTGAAAAGTTGGAAAATATTTTGCTCACGCACGATCCTCATGTCTGTGTGATAACAGAGTCTTGGTTACATGAAGCCATTGGCGATAGCGAGATAGTTCCGCCGAACTACCAACTTTTTCGATGTGATCGTGGTCATCGGGGCGGTGGAGTGGCTGTCATTATCAAGTATGGCATTGATGTAACTATTGCTGAGCGTTTTCCAGTGAGAGAGAGTCTGCTTTTAAAACTTTCATTTGCTGATATGTCATTTTTTCTCTGTGCGGTTTATCGATGTCCTAATGCTGATGATTCTTTTATGAGCGGTTTGTACGATGAACTACTACGTCTACGAAGCAAAAATCTTATTTTAACGGGTGACTTCAATCTGCCAGCCATTAATTGGGATGATATAAATTATGGTACTTCTTCTCGGCTGACACACTCTTAGACATAATGTTTTCTCTAGGCCTTGAGCAAATGGTAGGACACCCCACAAGGGGGAGTTCGATACTTGATCTGCTATTTACAACGGAACTCTTTACCGAAGCGACTATCACAGTTGAAACCGGTTGACCTTGAGAATCGCAGTCGCCGGAATAATCTTCTTGTATTTGGTATCAGCGCTGCTGGGAGTGAATCTGAAGCAGAGCTACGTGAAAAGGTAGTGAAGGGCATATTTCATGATCGATTAGGGGTGAAATGCACGACAATTGCGCGGATTCATAGATTAGGCAAGCCGGTATCAAGCAGACGTCCTGTTATACTTTTTTTCCAAGATTATACGGAAAAGCAAGCTGTGTTGCGTCAAGCACATAAGCTGAAGGGAACCAAAATTTATCTTCAAAACGACTACTGTCCTGACACACTCCGCAAAAGAAAACTGCTATGGGCAACTGCAAAAGCAGACAGAGAAAGCGGTAGCAAGGTTGCTCTTGTTCACGATAAGCTTCGTATTGATCACACCTTTTTCTGTTGGGACGACTCGCTTAATGCGCGTAGGAAAGTGTCACATGAGAGTGCCGTAGGGAATCCCAGCTAGCAATTAGGGGAGCACCAACTTCGTTTGCTTTGCTTCAATGCACGGAGTATAACAAATAAAATTGAAAAGTTGGAAAATATTTTGCTCACGCACGATCCTCATGTCTGTGTGATAACAGAGTCTTGGTTACATGAAGCCATTGGCGATAGCGAGATAGTTCCGCCGAACTACCAACTTTTTCGATGTGATCGTGGTCATCGGGGCGGTGGAGTGGCTGTCATTATCAAGTATGCATTGATGTAACTATTGCTGAGCGTTTTCCAGTGAGAGAGAGTCTGCTTTTAAAACTTTCATTTGCTGATATGTCATTTTTTCTCTGTGCGGTTTATCGATGTCCTAATGCTGATGATTCTTTTATGAGCGGTTTGTACGATGAACTACTACGTCTACGAAGCAAAAATCTTATTTTAACGGGTGACTTCAATCTGCCAGCCATTAATTGGGATGATATAAATTATGGTACTTCTTCTTCGGCTGACACACTCTTAGACATAATGTTTTCTCTAGGCCTTGAGCAAATGGTAGGACACCCCACAAGGGGGAGTTCGATACTTGATCTGCTATTTACAACGGAACTCTTTACCGAAGCGACTATCACAGTTGAAACCGGTATTTCTGACCATAGATTAATATCATTTGTTTGGGACAGGCATGCACGTTGTAAATCAGTGAAAACGCCAGTGGAAAGTGTTGTAAGAGATTTCAATCGAGCGGATGATGTTGCAGTAATTGATTATTTAGAAACACATCTCCCCACATCTGTTAGTGATGTTGATAGAGCCTGGCAACGCTTCCGTGGTATTGTGGACTTCTGTACAAAGAACTTTGTACCGCTTAGGAGAATACGCAGGCGTTCACATACCCATGGATAAACCGTGCGATTATACAGATCAAGAGAAAGATAAAAGGTTACGAAAAAAACACAAGACTAGTACGCAACATTTTTCCGATCTTAAAGAAAATTATTAGAGAGTGTTAGCAAGGCCAGGCATCAATTTTTTAACGACACACTACCTGAATTCATCAGGACAGATCCTGATAAATTTTGGCGCTATATTAAGCAAACTAAAGAAGGCGTTTCTGAAATACAAGTTGATGAGGTCACGATAACAGATCCGGCACTAATTGCTGATCATTTTAATAAATACTTTCAGAGCGTCTTTTCCGAACCACAGTATTATGAACTGCGAGACCCGATGCCCATAATCACGGATGATGTTCTGATAACTCGTGAAGGTGTTTTACAAATGTTACTTAAGGTTAATCCTAAGAAATCGTCAGGCCCTGACGGCATTGGTAATTCATTCCTACGACGCTATGCTGAACAAATCACTGACTTCCTTACTGCCCTTTTCAATGTATCATTCAAATATGGTCAGATACCAGCCGATTGGCGTAAAACTCGTGTTGTGCCGATCTTTAAAAAGGGTAACCGCTATTCCTTGACAAACTACCGTCCTGTTTCTATCACTAGTAGCTGCTGTAAAATGTTAGAGCATGTTGTTGCAAATTACATTAACACATTTTTATCAGAAAATAATATTTTGTCGCCTAATCAACATGGTTTCCGAAAAAATATGTCTACGGTAACACAGCTTGTGTCTACAGTGCATGAATTCGCACGGGTTCTAGATATATCTGGGCAGACTGATGTGTTCTTTTTAGATTTTAGCAAAGCGTTTGATAAGGTGCCTCATGGAAAACTTTTGTTTAAACTCGAAAATATTGGGCTACCTTCGGGTATCGTTAAATGGATTCATATGTACTTAAATAACAGAACTCAATTTGTTGAGGTCAGGGGTTGTTTTTCTTCTTCGCTAAATGTTTCTTCTGGTGTGGCCACAAGGTAGTGTGTTAGGCCCCTTGTTATTCTTAATTTTTATTAATGATTTAGTTGATGTCGTACATAAGGACATATCCGTCAGATTATTCGCGGATGATTGTGTTGTTTTTAAAGAAAATATGTTGTGTAAATGACCACATATTACTTCAACAGTCTCTTACAAGTATAGATGAGTGGTGTCAAAACTGGGGCATGGAACTTAATAGTGACAAAACAGTTCTCTTGAGAATAACAAGGAAAACGAACTCCCAGCCTTTATACTTATTTTCTCCGCAATAACCCACTCAAAGACGTAGAAAAATACAAATATCTAGGAGTCACTTTGACAAAGTCACTTACGTGGTCAGACCACATTACAAGCATATGCACGGCTGCACTTAGGAAACTGTGGTTTCTTAAGAGGAAACTTAAATCCTCAACGAAGGAGACTAGATTATTGGCATATAACACCTGCATCCGATCAAAACTTGAATATGCCTCGGTGTTTGGGACCCTCAATGTAAAAAAGATATTGCCTTGATTGAAAAAGTTCAACGGAAGGCTGTCAGATTTATATTTAGCAAATATAAAGATATGATTCGCCAACACAACTTATGCAACTGAATGATATCCAAACACTGGAAACTCGCAGGAAAATTAATCGGTTAACGTTCCTACACAAAATTCTTTCCGGTAAAGTTACAACAAGTCTGCCCAACTGTGTGAAACCTCTATCTTCTAGAAAAACAAGACATAAGCATAAATATTCATTGGCGCCAGTTTTTGCCCGTACCACTGCTTTTAAAAATAGTTTTTTCCCTAGGACTATTGCTGACTGGAACTCTTTACCAATAAGTGCTTTTCAGTCCGAAGATATTGAAAAACAGCTTGAAACTTTTTTTGTTTAGTTCTGAATGATGTATCCATATGGTGTGTATTCGCAGTGCCCGAGTAATGTAGTTAGTTGACTTCTGCTGCGCATGAGTGTTCTGATCACTGTTTATGTGCCGTAACACTGTTGTGCAAGTGCACTATAAGTTGTCTAATTAAGTGCTGTGACATTGTACTTTTTTTGTTGTTGTTGTTGCCCCTCCTGCTTGGGCCTAAGTATAGGCCTGCAGAACCTGTAAATAATAAAATAAATAAATAAAAATGTATACAATACATGAAGGACCCATGCATGCCCTGCCGCGAATGCTTAGTGTCTCAATCTGCGTGCTCTAGCTTTTTTTTACAATATTAGCACAAGGTACCCTATTGACAGTAAGACAAGTGTATAAGATATCAACCACATAACTTCTACAAAAAACACGCTAGCGAAGTTAAAAGTATCAGTATTGCGATACTCGCTTTTGCTTTGCCAGATGTGACGTAGATAGATTCTTCACGTTGGCAGTATGTTTACCTGACTAGAATAGTTATTATACTTGCAATATTTTTCCTTGTTTAGTTTCGAAAAGTTTTCATGACAACTTAGACGTTCATATTCACATTGTACAATGGATTCCTTAGTCGAAATTGCTACTTCTCATGAGGTGTTTCAACTAGAGTCCAGCGCGCTAGACTATGTTAAATTGCTATTATGCTGAACTGATCCTTTTCGGCATTTTTTTCCACGCCCCGCCGCGGTGGTCTAGTGGCTAAGGTACTCGGCTGCTGACCCGCAGGGCGCGGGTTCGAATCCCGGCTGCGGCGACTGCATTTCCGATGGAGGCGGAAATGTTGTAGGCCCATGTGCTCAGATTTGGGTGCACGTTAAAGAACCCCAGGTGGTCTAAATTTCCGGAGCCCTCCACTACGGCGTCTCTCATAATCATATAGTGGTTTTGGGACGTTAAACCCCACATATCAATCAATCATTTTTTCCAGCTGGCTTGGGTGACTGCGTTTGTGTAGCAGGGCACGAGTTAGTCTTCATGAATGCTCTTTCAGGCAAGCTTTCATTACTGCTAAAGCGCCTCTGAATAGGCCACACTTGCACTGACCTCTTTAGAGATTACCACGTCAAAGAAATAAGGAGCTTACATTCTGATAAAAGTTTTGGCTTTTATGTAAACTCTATCACCGTGCATCACACTTAAGGTATCGCTGGCATACCGCAAGGATTTCAATACCAGTCTCACCTGTTCCACTGTGCCGCTTTGTAAACGCAGCAATATGTGCATAGTATCATGAAGACACTATACAACACAGGCCTCACTCTGTGATAACATAGGAAATGAGAAGGCACCGCAGCACACTATCTTTTCGACGTCTTCGATGAAAGGGAAGCATAGAGAGGCAGCGTATTTTTTTAACTACGTGGCACAGCACAAAGGATTCCAAAAATGAATGCAGGTGAAACAGCATTACTTTCAGTTCCCGTATTACTGCATAACTTTTGCTGTTCCATCACTTTTCGCACAATATTCAAGATAATTATTTCCAGTCATAATGTGATATGTAAACTAGAACTCCTACGCATTGGTAATTACATTTCAGTGTGCCGTTTCAAAACAGGTATTTAGAAGTTCAAGGGCAAAGTACATGAGTGTATTTCCAATAGCCTCCTCAAAGGTTCAGTGCCTGCTCAAGGCGCTTACCAAAGTTTTTTTATTGGGCAGGCAAATATAATGAGAACGCTCAATGCTTACACCCTGACATCACAATAGATGGCACTATTCTGGCTGTTCAGCTGGTCAGGAGCGAAAGTTGGGCTAACAAAAAATTGTTACAGTTTCCTCACAAAGGAAAAGTGACTAATGCGATGGCAACAAATTAAATGTGTCGGCGAAGTAACACTATCAGCATACTCTTAAATGTGAACTCGCGTTTCTCAAGGAAACGCTGATGCAACGTAATGCGACCGATGCAATGGCTGCGGTGATCGTCAGCCGTTGCACAATATGCCACCTTATGTTATCACATGGCACAATATCCACGTAGACTCTAAGCACTCTTTGTTGAAATTCCAGCATAACTTGAAAATTGCGTCCTAAGTTTTGTCTTTGTCCAAAAACTCTCTAACGGAACGTATTTCATCGGCGAAGTCAGTTTAATGAAAGATAGAAAGTGATGATGATGGATGGTGTTCCGGTGGCCATCGCATAGATTAATCGACTAATTGTTTTCAGGTAAGGCAATCACTACCGCCGTTGTGATCGTAAAACAGCGCAACAAGACAGGGCAGAAAACCAAGATGCTCACATACACAGCGCTGACTAACAGTTGAGTTTATAGACGGGACCAACTTAGTAACGTATATACGCTATATCGATGCACACGTTGCTTGGCGAAAATTCAGTTTTAAAATAGCATACGTGTTGGATTCAGGCGCAAATCTACACTGCCCTTCGTCATTGCTAATATGTCATAAGACGGTTTATTGTTTGCTGGCAACAATGGTGGCCCATTTGCTTATAACTTTCTGCCTCACTGAAGGCATTGTAATGGGTCCCGTGATGAAACTGTGCATTTTGCGATCAATCAGCTCCCTTGCCCAATATCCATTTGATGAAGATGAGCTGGCGAATGAACAAAATATGAGCACATTTGGTTTGCTCGTGAAAATTGAATGAAGGTTGAGGTTCGTGCGATGGCATGAACTCTTTCTTTGGTGAAAGGTAACAGGTGCGCTTTAGCATCGGGAATAGCTGTACTTCTTTAGGTCATGTAAATTGGGTGCGCGTTGCAATCGATGGTTCATTTGAGCTTGATAAATACGGTACAGACGGGATCAGTTCAACTACTTGTACCGTCTTGGCGGGCTTTTTCACGCTTAGTGCGCGGCCCCTGTATCGCCAACAATCAGCGTTGCAGCTGTAATCATCTCAGCAATCTTGAACAAGTCATTTGCAGTGAATATTCTTCAGAGCAGTGCAGAATTTTCATGTACGAACCCATTTCACCCGAGACAGCCAGCAACAATTAACTACTCTCATGTGATAGAATGATTTCTATTGTGAGCGCCCGCATGCGCACTATAGCGTAGCGGCCTATCTAATCGGCAGCGCCACCTGCGGCGCCCTTACTCAGATAAACTCCAAGCCCAAGCGAGGGCCGGGGTCACGTTTTTATCAATCTCGCTCCCGCCTCCGGCGCGGTCGGCACGTTTTCATGTTCGAATAAAGCGCATTCTCCTCGTTCACAACGCCTCTCAGCCTTCATGCCTAGCCCGCCCGGCCCTCACAACTGGCGCAGTCGACTCCGAACCATGCCTGGAACGTCGCCTTTTGCCCGCCTCGTGAAGTGATCCGCCGGACTAGCCGCGCGGCGCTCCGTCCTGTGTTTACCGTCCGCCGCCCGATACGCCTTTCGGCCGCTTCGTCCGAGTCATTTCGTGCCTTTGCCTTTTGTTTCGCCGACCGTCGTGCTGACGCCCACCCGCCCGATGAAGTAGCTCGCCTGCAGAGCCGAACCAACTTGACCTGCCCGCCTTTTTCGTCTCTCGTGAGTCTTGTGCTCCTTCTGCTAATTTCTTGTGAACGCCATGCCGCTTGTGAACTGGAACGAGGCTACGCCTGAGGACCTCGCCGGCTTTACAGCAGACTTCCTCCGTGAAGAGTTGGTTCGCCGAAACCTGGACGCTACGGGGCCGAAGGAAGAAGTGATCAATCGTCTCCTCGCCGATATAGCCCAAAACCGCTCAATGACGCCTTTGTCGCCTTCCCCAGACTCCTCAGCGTCCAGCCAGCGCCCGAACACTACGCCGCTTCCTTCGAGCTTCGATGCAGCCCAAAGTACCGAGTTGCTGACGGGTTTACTTCAACAGCTCCTTCAAGTGTCACAACGCGCTGCAGCGCCAGTTCAGGTCACGACCCTTCCAGACCTGTCCGCATCGCTTCCTACATTTAATGGAGACGGCAGCATTTCAGCGTCCCACTGGATTGAAGAGTTGGAACGAACTCGAAACCTAGCTTCGTGGGAGCCTTCAACCGTACTCGCCGTCGCTCTGGGAAAGCTCCGTGGAGCAGCCGCGGATTGGAAAGCAGTCATTGGCCGTCAGTGTCCCACCTGGGAAGCCTTCAGGCAAGCTTTCTTGGACCAATTCAGCGCCAAGCAAACCTTACTACAGTGGCAACAAGCTGTTACTTGTCGCGTGCAAGCGCACGGAGAGAACCTGGTCCACTATTCTTTGGCGAAGTTGAAGCTCATTTCGGGATGCCCAGTCACTCTTACCGACACTCAGCGCATAGAGTACGCCCTTCAGGGCATTTCCGACGAGAACCTGGCCACTACTATAGCAGCACAACGGCCAGAAACCGTCGCCGCCTATATGGACATCGTAACGCAGCTTGACCAAACATTGAGCCACTTGTCTCGTCGACTCCCACGCCCAGGGTATTCAAGCACCAAACTAGTAATGCCAAGCCCACAGGTGCCCCACCACAGTGAAGAGGGCACGAATGTTCAGGCGGTACCAGACAAAACAAGACAGCCGCAGCGAATCGCAGCCCTACCACCAGACCAACAAGAGGCTCGGTACCTGACCATCTCTACGAGGCACGGCGCTCCTGCCTACCGTTCTGGCCAGAACTTGGCCGAAGCCGTGTGTTTTCAATGCCGCCAAAAGGACATCTAGCTTCAAAGTGCCCATCCAGAGCTACTGCCACACAGTCTACAACGCATCCTTCGCCAGCTCTTCACAGCACACTTTCCGAAACCCTTGATGGATCGCTGGTCCAATGCGCCCTTGTAAACGCCACAATTGCTGGAAGCGGCCAAGTGGACGCATTTCCAGACAGTGGTTCCAAGGTGACACTTGTTTCTCGTCACCTTGTCAGATCTTTGCCCCTCCTGCCCTGGACCAGACCCCCTCTAGTTGTCGTTGGAGGAACGACAGTGGCTCCTGCTGGTGCTATCTGCTTGAAGATCTCTGTGGGACCCATCACCGGTTTGGTGGAAGCCGCCGTCCTCGATAACAATGCCATGCCACTTATATTGGGGGAAGACTGGTTTGCTGCCAGTCACGCACAGTTGGTGTTCCAGCCACCCATGCCAACTGAAATTCGTCATCCCACCACAGGAACAAGTGTGCGGTGCTATGAGCGACTGTTGCCCAGGATGTCGAACGCTGTTATGATCCAGGGGTCATCTTTCAATTACCATGTATCTGGACACCACAGCTCAGCAGGCCTCCAGCGAATGCCACTCCCAGGCCCAGATGAACCCCCGTGGTTAGCACTATCTTGTCAATATGAGTTCGGACGCCTGTACAAGGACCTAAAATTGTACATTCGAATAGTCAGGTTAATGAGGCTTAGGTGTGCGTGTCTCCGTGTATTCATCTTGCGCCCTATTTCTTTGCGTTCTATCTAGTTATCGAAATATGCCGTACATACAACGGTCGCTTTGGCAAAGAGTTACATGACTTCCTGTGTGCACAGGATCACAATAACTACTCATGAATTACTGTAGCCTGTTGCGGAATGTGTCACCGGTATTTCAGGCATAAGCGCTTGTTCACTATCGACTTTGTTTATTTAACTCTACAATTTCCTCATAAATGAGTAACTACGTCAATGCATATTTTAAAAAGCTGGTTCTGTTGCAGGGAAGGTGACGCTACGGGAACCAAAACTAACATATGTGTGGAAAGCGTTTAAATGTGTAGCGTTATTTGGCAGCGTAGCAGAGGAGGAAAAACTGTTAGCTGTGTTGACGAAAGTGAGAATATTGGAGGCGTAAAATGAAAAGTGCTTGCGCAGAATAGAGTAGGTCGGTAAAAATGGACGGAACATTTGCTCTATATTGAACATTGGAGAGGTTCAAGGTAATGCTGACGAAAAAAGAATCAATCGCTATTACGCTAAGTGTTTCTGCATTCTGCGCCCTCTCTCAGACACGAGATCACTCATATATAGAAGAAATGTGCATCCTTACCAAATGAAATGTTTGTAAGTTTTCCAACCAGTGGCCGACTGCTTAATGTTTGTGATCTGCATCTTGCCCTTGCTATCACCAGCACGCAAAGTTTGCTGTTGATGTAGTTAATAATGTCCAGCCATTCTTCAAGCGTGTGGCTTTCGGAGCAAGCATGCATGCTTTCTCCTCGTTCACATGAAGTAAACTTCTCGCATTTCTTTATGGTGTATCCGTGGAATCTTCCATGCAATTTAACAGGAGGTTCCCAATGGAGACGCGTAGTTGCGGATGATATCTGCACCATTGATAGGTTTGACGGAGGATCGGGATCTGAAACATCAACAACACATTTGATTAGATATCACTTGTCTTTTATTGGTGTGATAAAAATCGAAAGCTCTTGTCAGCTAGGTTAAATCTATCGAATAAATTCATTTTCCGCGCAAGAAACATTCGAGAAGCCAAATTTTATTTGCGGCGATCAGCGAAAACTGGTTTCGACGTGGAACTTATAGATCTTCACTATTATTGTACACCGCGTTTCCTCTCGCGGTTATTCTTGCCTAAACCATCTGCTTCCTGATTTTGCTGCCTTATCGGCTATGTTATACCATTCGTATGATATACTGTTGTAACAATTCGTATACGAAAGCGAGTTTCTTCAGACGTATTTGTATGTCGCTGCGCCTCGGAATGCAAATTTTCGGTAAGGTTATGATGGCAGGTGTCACGTCGAAGTAAGGCATATTTTCTCTCTAGTGAGTTCAACTCTCGCCTATAGGAAAAACGTTCAAACCATGCAAAGCAAATAATTGGTACGCGTATAAGCACGATAAGCGTAACAACAAAAGGAAAGCAAATATTATCTATCTCGAGAATGAGCAAGTGCGGTCTTGTTTCTACATCAGCAACTTCAGCTTTTATTAACAACGACGCGTCAAGCTTTATGCCTGTTTCAGTGGCGTCTGCCTACGCTGGTGTTTCTTCCAATTTTATATTTAGCCCACACTATTGTGAATGCTAACCAGGCGCGACACGTTCATTTTTTCTTGAGCCTGGAAATGGACGTTCAGCAATGAAGAATCCAAAATTTATGCGCTTCCGCTGCGCTGGACATGACGAATTTGCACCACAAAAGCAAAAGCAAAGGCATTTACCTTGACCGGGTACAAATATGCCTTCTACTCCACTCACGAGCCTTGCGTGATCGGGCGGCCCGTGGCTGTACGCGAAAATCTCTAGGTTCACATGTGTGCAACCTTCGAAGTCACCACAAGAAGTTACGGTTTCGTTGCGAGCATACTTGCTGATTCCACAAGACCCCAAATTTGCACGGTACGTTCGGCCATTGGCGTCGAGTTTATCCTCAGTCATTTCCAGCTTGTAGAAATCGAATTGGTATTCCGGTCGTGACCACGAAGTAGTGATTGATGTGCCCATGATCGATCGAACAGTGACTTTGACAATATCTGTAAAATGAGAAGTCACGTGAGATGATATTGTAAAGTAAACCACGAAATTCAGCCTACTTTTGATTCAGCAAACATAACTAGTTGAAAGTGAGTGTTCATAGCCGTGAAATCGCAAAAGCCGATGTGTGTTTTCAACTGCACGGGCCCTAAAAGTATTCAGAATTAACGAATGAGGAAGGCAATACAAGTATAGAGGATGTTATTTTCTAAGACACGTTGCCGGGCTAGTTGGTTGGGGTGCATTATTTATAGGGGTACAACGCACCACGACAAGGACACAAAAAGAGAGACGCACACACACACAGCGCTAGCAAGATGTAAAATTGAAGAAAGCAAAGTGGATGAAAAAATAAATTGCCGCAGGCTTGGACTGAAACTGTGACCCTCAAGCAACAAATTCGATGCTGTACCAAGTTAGGTACAACGGCGGTTATCGTACTGTCCAAATTTTTCTGTGCATATGTGCATTTTTTCAAAACCTCGGAGTGTTTGTCAGCCCCACTAGTCTCTATGACGGCCACTTCCCACCCTTTTTCTGTGTGCTGGTGAAATGAATCACATGACCTTTTTACGTACCAATTCAATCATCTTGAATGTATATATATATATATATATATATATATATATATATATATATATATATATATATATATATATATATATATATATATATATATATATATATATGCATGTGTGTGTGTGTGTGTGTGTGACGTACGTTATGATTATTGGAAGACGTGGCCTGGCTCAAACACCATACTTTTATTCCATAGCACTTCTGCCTTCTTGGCTTTTACTAACCATAACTCCCTTCGCATATCACGTGATTCTTTCTCCCTCGAAAAGCGCTTTTTCTTGTTTTTACGTTGGAACTTACAAACAAGAAAGAGTAAACAAAGAGTGACTTAAAACACTAAACTGAAAATCTAAGCAGTGTTCCGTGTCCCAGCGGAGTTAGGTGAACTCACAAGGACTTGAGGTGAGAGTGGAGCTGTCCGGTGATTTCGGGAACAGCTCTGGTAGGCAAGGCTGGTTGTTGTGGCCTTGATAACATGTCCATGTTTTACATGTGGGCACTGATGATAGCATGGTTCACAGATAAGTCACAGCTGACAAAGTGGAACGCGCTAAAACATCGGAAGTGTGTAGAATGCTGTAAGCACTGAATTTCTTGCCGTGACTTGCACACAGGATGTGCTTTCGGTTTCCGTGCTCTTAAGAGATTGACGAGATGATGTCGGACTACTTGCAGCAGGCATTGGGGGGGGGGGATTTCTCGTGACTTTAGATATTTCCTGCAGCATTGCTGGTAGAGCCTCAATCCAGTGTTGATCTCTCGTTCAATGTTCCTTTATGCAAAAAAAAACTTAAATATTGAATTTGTCTGTGCTACAAAGCCTTGCTTCAGGACGTCGTTATATCAGTTGTGATGGAGGTTTTGATGAAGTTCTCATTGGCTCTGGTGCTTGTCAGAAGATCGGTTGTAGTCATTGAGGTTTGTCAACTTGCCTTTGCTGACTCTGCTCGTGGTATTCAAGAGATTGATGTAGTAGAGCCCCTTCAATAACAGGACGACCACTCTTTTACCCAAGTTGACGTGTCCTGTGGATCGTTTTTTATGGTGAGTTGCTTGTCGGGCATAATGGGTAGTGCGTTAAAAGGAAGCTCTTAAGAGCTTCCTTTTATTATATATATATATATATATATATATATATATATATATATATATATATATATATATATATATATATATATATATATATATATATATATATTTGAACAGCTCTGACGAAGGCAGGCCCGCCTGCCGAAACGTTGGAAGTAATTAACATTTTCACACGTTTGTCCGTTGTTTCTCAACGCATATATGTATACACGTTCTTTAAGTGTGCATGATAGCAAGAAGTGGTAGTTGTAGATGTGTAGGTGGGGTGAAAATTTTTATATTGCTAGCGGTGGTGCAATGTGCTCGTATGTGACGGCCTAACAGCGGTGTACAATTGTACTATGCTTTTATTGATGTGATGTCTGGTGTGGCGTGTGACTGTGTGTCAGTGTTTGGTACAGCGAATAAGCTAGGAAAAATTCTCCGTGGAATGGGCAATTCCAGCTTAGAGTGCTATCGGTCACGTTGAACAAAAATACCGAAGAATACGTCCCGTTCCTAGGAAAATTCACCGTGCAGTTTATCAAGGCCCGAAATCCACGCCCAGCCTTAGCCAAGTTGCAGGCTTCCTGCCCACTTTTCAATGTATTCACTGGTTAACAGCGATGTGATGCTAGACATACCTCACTTCGCCGCACGAGAAGGGTAGGGGACCTTTACTAATTTAGCATTTGTACGTTAATAGGGTCACATTCAGTGTAAGCGATACCTAGGCGATGATTATTCTAATTGATTGTGCTTTGTATTGGAGTCATCATATTAGTATTCTTTCTGCAGCATGTTCAAGAGGGCATCTTATGGGTTGATGCTTTATAGATCATTTTTTAACCTCTGAAAGAACTAACAGGCTACAGAGAATTTCAGTACCAAGGGCGCTATGAAGGATTGCCCGAACTTGGCAAAACTCGTTATCAGCTCGTTATCAGCTCGGCAGAACTCGTTATCAGCGGAATCTGACGATGATCTGGCAACACTTTATTTTGAAGGAGCCAAGATTGCGAAAATGTTCAATCCACCCCTCAGTGCGCTACGTTTCATTGCTTAGATTAAAGCAGGCATAGGGGCAAGGATTGTCTACAAAGCTGGAAGATGTTTTCCAACCGCCGGCATCTTTTTTATAGTTTTGCTTTTTTAAACCAAGTAGAGAAGTGCACCCATTCAATAAAAGTGTCAGAAATGTTTTGCGATATATGTTTAGAGGCACAGAGTACTGAAAATATTTTTGAAGTTCTTAGTCCTGCACCAAGTCTGTTTTTTCATAATCAGCACTGCGGCCTCTGAGATTATTTCCGGTGGAGCGTATGACATTACGACTGAAGCTGGAACCCGAGGCCACGTGTTAATCATCATGGTCGGCTTGCACATTCTAGCGTGCTGCTCGGCCGGTGCGTGCCTTCTCCGTCGTCTTCATCGCCTGCCGTAGCGCCCAAAAACGTGCGCCCGGCTAATTAGCTATTTGGCTCGGCAGTGTACTTGGCTAGCTTGGTCAAAACATACTATGACAAAGGTAATTACAACCAGCTCGTGGTTAGGCCGAGGTAACTACGCCACATCTTAAGAAGACCATGCTAAGAAAGCCATATAAAGCTAGGACCAGGTAAACAAACTGATGCTAGTTGACAAGCTAACCTAATTATGCTAATTAACTCGAAGGTAATCAAGAGTCCGCTAAAGTAAAGCCGTGTTAAATAGCCCCTGCTAATAGTATAATAATTAGTATCGTACTAATCAAGACAAATTTATCACCTCCACATTGATCATGACTTTTTTATTGTCACCCGAATTATTTTTTTAATTGAAACCATATCAATGAAGACAAAAGTGTCAAGTGTAATGGTCAATAAGCCTTAGGGAATTCGTATATTATTTATGAAACAAGGCTAATGTGGTCTTCACGTCGAGGCTGAACAAGCAGTTCAGTAGACGACCGACTTAAAAGCTTAGGTTGATATGTGGGGTTTCACTTCCCAAAACCACCATATCATTATGAGAGACGCCGTAGTGGAGGGCTCCAGAAATTTTTACCAGCTAGGGTTTTTTAACGTGCGCCCAAATCTGAGCACATGGGCCTACAGCATTTTCGCCTCCATTGAAAATGCAGCCGTCGCAGCCGGGATTCAACCCCTCGACTTGCGGGTCAGCAGCCGAGTGCCTTAGCCATCATAGCGGGGTGACTTGAAAAGCTGAAAGAAGCTGGATTATCACAAGCTCCTCAATGGCATCGGCTTTGCACAAGTAGTACAAGCTAGCAAAATTATTTTTATGCAAAGAGTCTGCTGCTTAGCGTCGACATAATAAAAAGCTAGACAGTCACACAAGACCCATGACAGCCACGAGTTGAATTGGGGCCTTCTCAGAAGCAACGAGTTTGTATCCGAGTTCAGGCGATAATCAGATTATGGGCAGATGCCCGCGGCCAAGATGGCATCCGCCCACCACGTTTGCTTTCGCCGAAAAGCGATTCTCACGCCAAGAGGCACAATTAATCTGTGAGCTTCATTGCGCAGACTAAGTGTACAGGCGCGCAAAAGTAAAAGAGATATCATCACGTGGCTACGATGTCTCGCATTCATTTCACCGTGCTCACAACGTATCCATTCATTGCCATGTTGCCGCCATAATGCGAGCGTCCCTGGCCACAACCTGTCCTTATATTTATCTGCAATTTTGGATATAAGCAAAATGAGCAGCACAAAAAAAGCATCATGTGCACCTTTGCTGCCTTCGAGAGTGAAAATTTCTTTGCTGCAGGTGGAACGAAAGAACCTGCCCGAAAGAGAACAAACTCCCACCATACACACACACACACACACACACACACACACACACACACACACACACACACACACACACACACACACACACACACACACACACACACACACACACACACACACACACACACCACACACACACACACACACACACACACACACACACACACACACACACACACACACACACACACACACACACACACACACACACACACACACACACACACACACACACCATACATTGGTTGTCGGCTCCGTGAACGGCGTCTGGTTAACCTCCCTGCCTTTCCTTGCATCTTTCTCTCTCTCTCTCTCTCTCTCTCCGTTAACGGCGTTGCACCGGACCCGAACGAGTCGGCCCACACAGCAGCGCGCGCACTCCCTCACCGCACTGCTCTCGACCTGAGCGACGGCTCCAGTGCCGACGACGTGGGACACAAAGACACACCTACTACACACAACGAGATTACCAAGTATTACTACATGGCGAGGCGGGCATTCCCGATGACACATTCAAAACTCAATAGAGCACAGGCCGTCTCGTTGAGCTTACTTCAAGCCCATTCGTACCCGTCGTTAGCATTTATCCTCACAAATTCCCCGATGCCGCCTGCGCCGCTTGCGGGCAGAACGCTACATTAGCATGCGTGCTCTGTGAGTGCGGGTCGCTTCGACCGACTTATAGCAAACCCGAGTGAGATGCGCTTCTGCACAGCCCAGAACTTCAGGACCAAATCCTGGCCATCCAGTGTGCCCGCAACAGGGCCATCAGGCTAGACCTGCCGGACCCCACGTGGGAGCGGCCGAGTGACGCGTGGCAACCTCACCGTCGGCACTGGACCATAATAAAGTTGTTCTCACTCACTCACTCACTCACTCACATGCGTTATTAACACCATGCGCGTTCTTGTACCCATTTTTATCAACTCTGCTATCACGCGCTTCACGCGGTCTTGTCGTCATGGTCGCCGTAGAGCGAGCTCCGAGCCAGCGCGTCTGCTCGAGAAGCTCAGATTATTCTGCATAGAAAACTAAGTTACCAGTGTGCCCTGCCCAAGCGAAAGCTATAGGAAGCATCCAGCCTTGTGGCGTAATGCCTCGGTGCTTCGTTACCAAGTCCCTTATTTTTGTTTATCTGTCCATTTTATTTTCATTGCGTTAGAGCTCCAAAGACATAACACAGATTACTGCGATTAAGGTGGCAATGGCTGTTGGAAGAGGTGCCAGCACATCTTGAATTAGCCAAAAATATTTGAGTATGAAATCGATTAATGTCACTCACCACTTTCACCATCCTGTTCATTCTCTGCTGAAGTCTGTAAACAAAGGGGGCGCATATTGAACGAGGTAAGACTCAAATTATGTGCCTACATTTTGACAGGATAGTGTGATATTAGACTTCAAGAATATTACATGCACATATAAATCAGCCTTATAAAAGCTAACTAATGTAAAAGCTAAATAATATAAAAGCTAAATAATATAAAAGCTAACTGAGCCTACCGGATGGGATTCGGTATCTTGACCTAAGCGTTCTCCTGCTTTTCGGTCATCTAATTATGGCTCCCACCTACAGTTTATCTTAGTTACTTTGTTCTCCTTAGAGATACAAAGCACCAAAGTTTGCTCTATGCTAATCAATCAATCGTGTCTGAACAGCGGACGTATCTAGACCATCGTGTCTAAATGGAATAGTTTGAAAATATTTCCTGCGCACTTATGCACTTTTGTTCAACTAATTTTAACAAATACTTGTCATCGGAATCATCTTAAGTCAAGTTCACCATATTTTGTCTAGACTTGGCGAAGACCGTTTTCCATGATCCCCGGTACACCCTTTCCGGGTTCAGCTGTATTCATCGGACGCATGCGAGCTCATGTTTTCAGTCTAGCCGACCTTTTGTGACCCATGGCTTTGCTCGTTTTTTAGTGTCGACGCCCTTAAATAAGCCTCGCTTTTTTGTTCTTCGCTGTAAGTCACGCTACTAAATTAATGTTCGTTTTTGTTCTCAATATAACCTAGAATGTCGGCTACTCATGTTTGTTTTCAAGTACACTCTCACTTTTTACCACACGCTAAACAACACATCTCATAATCCTGAATCTATAAGTGCATGTGTTTGCATACCCTTTGAGATTACAATTAACAATATACAATTACAATATCCAAACATACAATTAGTGCACTTCACTTGTTCACAATGAAGGAGACCATGAATGCATAGCCAACACAATCGATTAAGTATCTCAATCTTTTTAAGTATTACTCTATTGAGCTAGCTACTAATGCGACAATATTAAACTACCGTAGGTATGCTTACCTCGAATACTTGTCCAAGTAATGAGAGTAGGATTGCAAAGACCACCGTAGAGCAGTCCGTATATCGGAATAAATCAGCAAGCATCATGAGCGATGACTTGTAGCAGAAACCATACGGCGTCTTTTGCCCGAGTAACGATTTGACGCTGCACGTAGCTTCAAGAGCAACGCGTTCGCCAAGACTTGGGCAACTCTTTTTCTATCTCGTTATCACAGGGCATTTCCGCGGCCGCATGGGTCACAGTATCCGGTTCGGCACTGGTGAAATCCACCGGCAGAGCTCTCTAAGCAAGGATTCATACCGGACTGATTCTTGCGGTATCTGCCGCTGGATCTGCTCACAACGAAATAAGTGAAACACTAGTCGAGGAACTTGAGAAAAATTGCAGTAAGCCCCGACTCACTTGTCATAGTGCGGTGCACTTAAGCTAATGCTTTAAGCAAGGGTGGTATCCCACAATTTGCACTTCTCCGCCACCAGATCTCGTAGATGAAGTAGCAGTTTTGGCACAATGACCAATCTTGTCGCTTTCTTGCAGACCTGCTTAAAGTAGACCTATTCGCTGGTCCAAAAGTCATTAGATGCGACACACCAGTGTGTTGATTTCCGGTGATGGTACGTATGTGGTACGTGATTCATCGGCTAGGCAGAGGAGTCTCGTAGAGGATGGGAGAGTTTGATATAAAACTTTTTGTGAGAGAAATTTCTCCTATCAATATTTAATAGTATCCGTTTCACTTAAATGTCGAATAATTATAATGCGATAGCAACCAGTCCTAATGTTAAACGAAGTAAAGCTTCCTAGCTACTAACATCTTTTTATTCGATCTCACGTATCTACAAGACGCTTGTGTATGAGAATAATGTCACACCAGGGAGAGAAGCACTTTTGGTGTTGCTTCTCGTATTACTAATACTAGGATGACGTGGCGACAACGCCGCGTATTAAATGTTACATGAGTCGTCAACATGACACCTTGCACATTGAACAGTGCAGGCACACTGTGCGACCAGCAAACAACGGCCGTTCGTAATTGTTTGCATCAGTAATTTTATGCCAGCTTGTGAATCAACGCGAATAACGGTCTCAACTCGTTAAATGGCCCTCTAAGTTGGGCATCCGTACTAGCTCTGCGAGTGTACGCTGCTGTCGGCAATTGCGGACAGCCTAATTCCACCTGGCTGCTGCAGACACCCAGCTAAGTCTGGGTAATTAGTGCCTTCGAAGACAATACACTTACCTTTAACAGGTGCACTTGTCCATATGTTCCGCCCTCACAGCGTGTCTTGGAGCGCGGAGTCTGGCGCGACCCTTGCCCAACTTGCCCAAGTAACGCGAGGCCCTCCAAAAAACTCAGCAGACTGAGAAACTAAGCGGAGGCACCACGCCACTTTAGCTCCATCAGTGATACACACGCCGCGATGGCACGAGATGTTTGGTGTATGCGGTGAAGTCTTCATCACGGAACCCAGTCGAAATGCGCGTTACAAGAGTGCAGTGACTTTTGCAATAATGCTTACCATCTATCTGTGCTTCTCACTTCCGGAGGAAGCCAAAAGGCCGACTTGTAAAGAGTCATGGTACGCTGACTTTCCTCTGATTGTGCTTTTTACATGATCTTTCTGCCCTGCCAAAACCATCTTCTCATCCCCTTGTGATTGTTAGTGCGTAGGTACGAATCGCACCTAGCAAAGAATATCGCTGTTTTTCTTATCTTCTATCTTATTCTTTCTTCGTTTATCTATCTCGTTTGCTTTCTCAAAGCGCCCAAAATAACAACCAGAAGGTGCATGTGTTCGAAAACGAAGCAGCATTTTTTATCTATTTTTATTCTGTACAATACGGCAAACGGTAGTCCCAGCAGGAGAGGAAGTACTATCACCGTCAAACGAAAGCCGAACAGCGGAGCACGTGTCACAAGCATTAGAAACAGCATTGCGGGCCATCCAGTCATTGGCGCAGAGAGGCACACACATCTGGTTTCGTAGCACAGCGCCACTCCAATTTCGGGCCTGTGTTGCTAACCGGAATTTTTGAATGAATAAAATATACAAGCGAAAATTTTGTAATCTTCACGCATTCAATCTTCAAACCTGCATATGACGGTAAATCGCTCGCCGCTGCTACGGCTACCGGCATGGGCGTGCGTATCGGTTGTGCTTGTTTTACTCGCAGCGCTCCACTTCAGAAGTGTGGCGCTTTGAGAGTATCGCCACTATTCGTGTTGCGACTCAGCGCTTCAGCATTGTCGCAAAGAGTAAGATATAGATGCGTTGATCGTGTCGCATTCCTGCCGCACGGCGCAACAGTCACGCTAACAAAGGCTCAACGGACGGCGCCAGCGCAAATATACGCATACACAAGGGGTGCTCATTTTTCCTCGCTGATGGCCGGATACCCTGCAGCTTCGCGACACTACACAGCAGTGTTCGAGTATCATTAGCTGCCGCGGAAAACGCCACATTGAAATGGAAGCAGCAGCGGCGTGAAAAACAAGCGTAACAGGAAGTACTCTTCAGTGCGTTTCGGGTTAAAGCGTAATGTTGCCCGATAATGAGATACGGGCGTGGCACTCGTGAAGGGCGGCCTTGGGAAGTAGATTGGTCACGAGTCTTCGAGAGGCTAGTGGTTTGAACTGGGCCGAAAGTACGCAGACTGATATAGGCGTAATTTTCCTTCAAACTAACCACTTCTCTGGCTCGACACAAGCACGGAGGTTTCTAGAATGGTACTTCAAAGACCTCACCGAATCGCTTTCCTTTTTGCTTTAGTGACCCCTGTTGTGACGCTGCCACCACTGTTGCGAAAGACGGCGACGCCAACACGGTCCCGAAGGCGCCACTGCTTCCAACTCCGCCGGGAAGGTCACCAGCCGTTTGGTAGCGTATGTTTCTCAGCTCGCGACTGCTTCTGCGCAGAGCTGATAAGACAAGCGGACGAGACGACGGTGAGTTAAACAAGGTTTATGTACAGCATATATACAGAGGCGTTACAACTTCGGCACTGGGGCCGACAGAGACTCGAAGAGCCGAGCTCTCCTCTCTAACACATAGGTCTGCTCTCAAACGGGCCCGCTCTGACACACATGTCAGCTTTCACCTAGGGCCGCCGATCGCGACGCGCCGCAGGGCTTCTTTTATATGCACCGGGTCCAACCAAAATGTCCAATCAGAAGCGCCGCTGGTCGTCAGTGCAGACTCCTCCAATGGGGTCGCCGCTGGGCCGCGTCAGACCCCAGACATGAAGACGCCCGTTGTTTACTCGACGGGCTCGCTGGCGCTGATTAATAGCAACATCACAAACAGAATTAAAACTATGCTTTTATATTTCCAAAATTTCGGGTACTTGCTGCCCGAAAGCATCAAAAAATGTCGGCATAATGTTGTCGCACTAAAAAAAAAAACTTGGCGAGCTTTACTTGCTTAATACAGCAGACACTGAAGCTGTATCAGGAGTGCTTTCGATGTTAGTGAGGAAGTGTTGGCACATTTCCTAAGTTGTGTAAAGGTACATCTACAAGTGCGAACTCTCCAAACACCTTCGGTGGCTTTAACTTTCAAGTGAACTTTGTGCCTGGAGCTGACGTTGTCTTGAGACGTTGTCAAATGACAGTTTAAATTTGAACCTATAGAGAGAGCGAGACTAGAGTAGCAAGGCGGAATGCGTGATTATAGCGCGTAACACTTAGCTAACCATCCTATAATTGTAAGACTGTACAGAAAAAAAACGCTTGTTTGTGAATTTAAAGTTAGCTCTCACCATCTTGGCTGGCCCGGCAACAGCAATGCAGCAAAATATCAACATTTTTGTCAGCACTTCCGGGCGCGTTCTGTAACCACATGCGAAAATGAATTTCCAACGAGCACCAGTGTAGGAAAACATATGGTGATATAATTGTTTTGAAAAATTTCTGCACCTGAATGAATTAGAAAAAGCTTAAGAGGTGAAGCTTGTTAGATGTTTTTGTAGGCCCAGGTGCTTAACCTACAAGGGATGTGGCGTATACAAAAAGACTAGACGTTTATATAACATAGCCGTAAATGCATAAATGGACTCTAAGTGCATAAATCAACTCATAACTTCTGCTGGTACAATTGCCTCTACAGCTCTAGAACAATCAGCGCACGGTTATCACGGCCCCGGCACCACACATCTAGTTGTGCACCAATTGACGTGAGCCACTCGCACACCGCTGTCGTCGAGAGGGCCCGACGTGTTGCTGTGCCTCACGAACTTTCCATGGCATGGGTTGCTGTACCACAAGGGCAGTCACGGAAACGGCCATTTTGCTGTGCCATAGTGGGTGGTCGAACGTGAGCTTGGCCACTCCAGAAAACACTGGTGGGCTAGCCCAACCCATTCCAGCTTTGCTGGAACGGTGGCTCACGTAGTCGCCGAGCCAGCAACAAATCGCTACCGTGACCGCAAGCACTGTGGTGGTCTGGCTTAGCTGGTTGTCCAAATTTGTCCGCAGTTCACCGATGACTGGTTGGGCACCGCATAGCCCCGCGTTGTGTCATGAGCATGCAAGGATATGCGGAACTGGGTATGCGTGGTCAATACCTCGCCAGTTCGCTAAATGAAGAATTATGGTATAGTGGTTTCCTCGTAACAATACTTGCAGTAAGTATGCCTTCTTAGAGAATTCAAACTACCGAAAATTACGCACACAGACGCTCCATTCTACGCCTTCCTGTCGAGGTGTCCACCTAGAACCGAAGCATGGCTAGCGAACAAGAAAGTGGTGCTAAGGGCGCGCTACTACGCTGTCAACTCGTACACCCGAAGGTGAAGCTCATATTTTCGCCAAGTTTTGTCGTTGCTCTAGAGTCCATGCACTCTAATGACTACAGCGTCTTAGGAAGCCCACGAACCACCTCCAATAGCATTTTTTCAACCACAACTTCCCTATAATTGAAATCGCTCATTATTGTTCTTTTACTTTTTTAGTAGAACGTGGCCACATAAATGACCACCGTTGTCTGTCTGATACTCGCAGTCAAGCTTGTGATGGCCTGTCATTAATATTAAAACGTAAAATATCTAAGCTGTTGAAAGGCGGGATAATCACGCACGAC